AACACCGCCAAGTGAGGCGAGAATTTCAAAAGCTGTCGAAGCGCATTGAGAACCTTGGAGTTCGACTGCGCAAGAAACTGGACGCTCGTTTGGCATCAGCCGCTAGTCCTGTAACCTGACCTGACCTGACCTGAACGATTCGCCCATAAACGTTTACGACTCCCACGAGTAATTTTGTCTAACTCGGGCAACGAGACACTAGGTCGCGCGCACTTTGAGACCCGTAAGAAGACTTACCGGCAGGCTGTCAACTCAGGTTAGCTTCATTGGTGAACCCACATCGTCTACTTTGTAAATCAATTCTAATTTGGTTTGCTTCTTTTCCCTCACGGTTCATTGTCATTTGCACGATATAATTGTTTATCGCATTTGTACGATGTCCGGGGAACGTCCACCAGTAGACGATAGGGAGCTGGACCTACTGGCTATAGGTTTTAAGCCAGTAGCCTTCATCCCTCATGACCCTGAGGTGTGGTTTGCTGCGTTGGAAACGCAGTTTGTCACCCGTAACGTGCGGAGCCGCGCTCTAAATACGTTTACGCGGTAGAGACAATCCCTGGCGATCGAATGACCACCATTAGGGATATTATCCTTAAACCGCCGAGGAAGGACGCGTACGACGTCCTGAAGGCTGCAATCCTTCAGTTCTACACTCGCTCTAACGAGGAAAGGTTGCGCCAGTTGCTGGCTCCTCACCCGATTGGTGACACGACGCCAAGCAGGCATCTGGCGCGTCTACGCTCGCTAGCCGGCCCAGCACACGCCCACTCTGACATTGTCAGAGAGCTGTGGCTCGAGTCGTTGCCACGTCACGTCCAACCGACGATAACGGCTCTGCTGGAAGGTTCCTCAATCGACAAAGCTGCGTCGATTGCAGATAAGATAGTTGCACGTGTCGGTAACGAGGATACTTTCCTCGTTGCCACGACATCGCAACCGTATAGGGGGAACAGGGGTAAATATGCGATACGGCCTTCACAGCCACGACCACATTGCATACATCAGCACTTGTCTTTCAAGGGCAGAGTCCCGGTGCCCACGGGAAACCCCTATAGCGTTAAGCCTAGGTTGGAACGGGCAGCACAGCCTGCCCACGTTCGCCAAAAGCAACCAAAGGCTCAGAAGCCACCCTGGCGCAAACCACTCAAAGCCCCGGATGACCCAACTGAGGGTTACTGTTGGTTCCATCGTAGCTATGGACCGGGAGCTCGGATTTGCAGGAGGCTCTGCACCTACGCGACAGGAAAAGGGTAAGCCGGCGAGTAAAAGCGGCCGTACTCGCCGGCCCGCCTCCTCAGGTTGGCCGTCTGTTTTTCGTACGTGACCATCATACGAACGCTAGGTTCATCGTAGATACGGGAGCCCAAGTATCAGTCTTTCCTATCGGTAGCAGCAAGCCACGAGCTGCGACGCTTCGGCTATGCGCTGCGAATGGCACTCCAATTCCTACCTTTGGAACAAGACAACTCACGGTCAACCTGGGAGGGTAACGACGGTATCCATGGACGTTCATTCTTGCGAATATTCCCACTGGAATACTGGGTATAGATTTTTGCAGTACTATGAATTGCTTGTCGATTCACGTAGACTGCGGTTGATCAACTCAGCGTCAAATAACAAAGGCACTGGTCTCAAAGTCCGAACAGACGTTTACCGAATCACGGGTTTAGTGCCTGATATCCCAGTGGATTTCCAGACATTGATCGCCCGATTCCCCACGTTGACTAAACCTATTGAGGACTTTACACTAGGGATTGATAGTGTTGCACACTAAATTGTCACTAAGGGTGCACCAGTCACGGCACGACCTCGCCGACTGGCACCGGACAAATAAGCATTTGCTAAGAGTGAGTTTGACAAGTTACTTTCAAAAGGTATTGTACGTCCTTCTCATAGCCCATGGGCCTCTCCTCTACACATGGTTCTTAAAAAAAGCAGCGTTAGCTGGCGACCATGTGGCGACAATCGGTCACTTACCGCAGTGACTCGTTTCGATAGTTATCCCATCCCGCGTTTACACGACATTAGGGCATCACTTCATGGCACGACTATTTTTTCTAGGATCGATCTGGTACGAGCTTATCATCATATCCCGGTCGCCACTGAAGATGTCGAAAAGTCTGTTGTCACGACTCCTTTCGGTCTGTTTGAATTCTTACGTATGCCTTTTGGTTTGCGAAACGCTGCTCAGACTTTCCAGAGGATTATCGACAGTGTAACTCGAGATTTAGATTTTGTTCACGTTTACATTGACAATTTGCTTATTGCTTCTTCCAATGTTGATGACCATTATCACCATTTGACCTTGCTATTTCAACGTTTATCTGATAATAACATTGTGGTTAATCCCAATAAATGTGAGCTTGGCAAAAAGGAACTGATTTTCCTTGGCCACAAGGTCACACATGAGGGTATTTTACCATGCGAGGATAAAGTACATGCTATCAGAGAGTACACTTTACCATCCTCAGTCAAAGATCTAAAGGCGTTATTTGGTTAATCCGATTTCTACATAAACCAGGTCTAGGCACCTCGAGAAGAAGGGCAGCTGCTTTATGCAGGATATGGAGCAAATTGTTACGTTAAAAAACGTAGTTGGCTCTCGGGTGTTGCGCTCGAGGGCGTTGGCAAGTTGAGCGAACATCATATACAAGCACCGGTTTTGCAGCCACATAGTCTAAAACTGTAGTACACTAATGTTTGCAGCGTTGGAAACAAATGGGTTGAGCTAGGGGTTAAGAGCCAGCATTGTGATATTGTGATCCTTACTGAAACATGGTTATCCAAAACCATATCAGTTGAACGATTAGCCCCTCCGAACTTCACCCACTATCGAACTGATAGAGAGGGTGAGCGAGGGGATGGGGTACTGCTGCTAGTTCGTCGACAATATATCCAATGGGAAATACCTGAGCTAACACTGTGTACACCAACAGTGCAAGCTACAGGCTGCATTGTAAGAAATAGAGGCCGATACTTCTGAATGTTGGGTGTCTACAGATCACCAAGCTCTAGACCGGAGGATGATCGAGCTCTATTAAATCGCATTGCCGCAGTCAGTAGGGGAAATCACTCGCCGATTATAGTGGGGGATTTCAATCTACCTGGAATAGAATGGGAGTATGAGGACGAGGGAGATGGGCAAGCAGAACGTGAATTCATGGACTGCTTCCATGCGGCATCGCTCTACCAGCATGTGAAAGAACCAACGCGTATTCGGCTAGGGCAGAGACCGTCCACCTTGGATCTGGTCTTCACGTGGCAAGAGAGTGAGATCAGCGACCTAAGGCAGGAGGTTCCTCTCGGTAAAGGCGACCACAATGTATTGTTACCAGAAACATGCATTGCGAAGGAAAAGCCACCCTGCAGATGGTGCCGCAATTTCGGGCAAATGATCATAGAGGACTTGAGGCGAGATGCTCGGACCAGAGCATGGTTCCCGCAGGGAACAGAAGCGTTCGTGGATCAACGATGGGAGAAAATTCGCGACCAGCTAATAGAGCTGACGGAGAGGCATGCCCCATTGCAGCCTCGGGGTGATGCCCACAAACCGCAATGGTGGAAGCCGGCCATTAAACGTGCCATCGGAGAAAGGGCTCGTAGGTGGAAGGCATTCGTTCTCACACGAGGGCATGATCGATGGCTACAATATAAGAAAGCGAGAAACTATGCTAGCAAGCTAGTAAGCCAGGCGAAAATGGCTTTTGAGGTGAAAATCGCCAAGAGAGCGCGCCAGGAACCCAAGAGGTACTATAGCTATGTGCAATCGAAGACTGCACTAAGGCAATCGGTAGGTACTTTGGAGAACCCCGAAGGTGGGCTGTCTGTCTCAGACTATGAAAAATGTGAGACGCTCAAGGGGTACTTTGAAACGGTCTATAAAATAGACGACGGGCGTGCCGTCCCACGAGAGTGCTTAGACACCCCTCCAATGGGTGATGTGGAAGTCTCAACTAGTTGTGTTCTCAAGGTTCTGGAGAACTTGAATGTGAACAAATCTGCCGGCAGCGACGGGCTACATCCGGCCATCATCAGGCCACTGGCTCAAATGCTCGCCCCCGCGATAACCGCACTCTATCAGGAGTCCCTTAGGACTGGGAGAGTACCTAGGGATTGGGCGACAGCCACAGTAGTAGCCATCCACAAGGGTGGAGATAGGAAGCAACCTGGCAAATACAGACCAGTAAGTTTGACCAGCGTGCTGTGTAAGGGCTTGGAAACCATTGTTAGGAATGCTCTCTGTGAGCACGTCTCTCAACATAAGTTGATTAGCCCTGCCCAGCACGGCTTTCTCAAAACGAGTTCGTATCTGAGCAACCTTCTTTGTTTCTTAGACGAAGTTACAAGGAAGTTAGATGGAGGTCAGAAAGTCAAAGTGTGCTACCTGGACTTCAGGAAAGCTTTCGACTCGGTAAATCACCGACTCCTACTAATGAAGCTCAGGGGTTTTGGTCTCCCAATAGATCTAATTAGGTGGATAGAAGCTTTCCTCACAAACCGGACCTATAGAGCTTGAGTGGAAGAAGCTCTGTCAAACGTCGGCAACGTATCCAGCGGAGTGCCTCAGGGCTCAGTGCAAGGCCCGATGCTCTTCCTGCTGTTTATAAATGCCTTGGTTCAGGAATTAGCGGTTCCTGCGTTCATTTTTGCGGACGACGTCAAGCTAGTGAACTCAGGGCCGGTAGATCAACTTGAAGCTGATCTGATCAATGTTGTTCGGTTGACAATGAAGTGGGATTTGGAGCTAAACGCTACCAAGTGTCATGTTCTAAATAATAATAGGTGTTTATTTCACGAAGCCCGTGAGAGATGCACGAAGCATGATCAAATGTTCAGAGCGATTATACGTACAATAAGGGAGTAAGTACATACGTGGACCATAAAAAAATGGTGTGGAGCAGAACGAAAACACAGTGTGAAAGGAACACAAAACGGACAAGTTCATGGACGTCTTTATGGAGGATGGAGGATTCATTGAAAAATACATGTCACTAGAACTGGAAGTAATAGTACAGCTGGTCTCGAAAGGATTGGACGTACGGCAACAGTGTGGGAAATACGAAGAGGTGGTCTGTAGTACAAATGCTGCTTGATGGTAGAGGCATTAGGACAGGAATAGAAAGGAAGGTATAAAACCAGAATAATACGTCGGTAAACGTACATGTTTCACTCTATTCTGCAATACAACTCGCTTTTTGGACAAGTTCATTTGGTTCAGAGCTTCATTCGATCAACGAGTGGTTTGGTTTATTTAGATTAATTAGGCGTTGGTCGCTTTGATGTGAGACTGACTACACGCTAGACACCTAACCTTAAAACACCATGTAGGTGAGGCTGGGGGTGTAATCCTCAACCTGGTCCGGAATGCGAACGCGTGTAGTCTGAACGGTGGATACAACCGCGCCCAACAACCACTGCCGGAGCCAAATTGTCCTTTGTGGGTGTAGACCCCAAACCTTCGGCAGGCCCAAGCCAACCGAATCTTCAATAGAAAGGGTAAAATTCGGCAGTCTGGGGTAGTACCCAGCTGAGACGGGAGGAAGGGAATAGCGTGTTGCGAAACAAAATGCGGAAGGCATAAGTATCAGAAAGCATATATATATTGATATCCATATATAAAAAGGAAAGTGCGCACACAAAAACACGCAGGTCAAAAAGAGGAAGCGAACCAGTGGATTCGACACAAAACGGAAGAATTATAATAACAAGTATTTACCGAGTGGAGTTGGTTTCACTTCTCGAGGTTTGAGACTCGGAATGTGTACCGTGTGTGTAGACAATGGAATATAATGTGAGCACAACTGCTGCATCAGAATGTGTCACAGATAGAGAGAAGCTTAGCGGTAAACTGGATGTGCGAAAGTTAGTCAGGTAAGTAGTCAGGTAACTTAGTGACCGGTCCCGCTAATGCATTTGGTAGAGGCTGAATAAAGGAGGGAAGCAGTCCATTCAGTCCTGCTGCCTTATGTCTATTTAAGGCATTGAGCTCTCGGACCACGTCGATTTCACAGAGTTTGAACTCCGTGAAACGCTCCCTTGTTCTAACCAGGCTGCAGTTTTCATTCTGTCCTGATATAGGTGATCAATTAATTCCCTTGAAAAACCTAAGGAGTGCAATTGCTTTTTCCTGGTCGGTGGTGGCCATTACGCCTTCAGTTACCTCCAGTGTACCTACTCCCTCAGTGTTTTTTGTTTGCCTGCAAATATGCATAAAACCTTTTCGGGTTATGTCTTACATTTTGCGCCAACTTTTTCTCGTGTTCATACTTCGCCTCCCTTTGAAGGGATTGTGCTCTGTTGCGTGCTCTCTTGCAGATCGACCACCTATCGGCAGTCCTGTACGCCCTAAAACTGGCCCAGCATCTCCTCCGGACTACTATTTTGCCTTCCACCAAGCTGGTCGTTGCCTGTTGCTCCTAGGTTTGAATGATGCAAACCTATCGGTCAGTGTAAGCAACCCTACCTTAATGACAGATCATTGCTCTTCCAACGTTGGCTCGGGAGCTAGTGGCACCCAATCTACGTGTTCTGCGGCCTCTTGTAGGGCAGCAAAGTTTATACGGCTATAGCACCGTTTAAGTGGGGCAGCCGGTGTGCTGTGTTTCATGGATAATATTAACCTCAGTACCCCATGGTCACTCTTACCCAGTGGATTCTCCACTGTTAGATCACTAATGTCTGATACACCACGTTATAAATAAGTCCAGGAAGGAGGTCTTCTGTTGGTTACGAAACCTTGTGACCTGCGTGTTATGCTGAATGAGCGCACGCTCATGTAATAATAATAATAATAATAATAATGGTATATTTCACGAAGCCCGTGAAGCATGCGAGTGCGCACGATCAAATTTACAACAATGGTACAAAGAAGTCGGCGGAAAGCCAAAAGTGAAAGTACAAAGAGATTGTGGACATAAAAATTGTTGTTTTTTTCATGGATCAGGAGATTTCGTGAAGATGCTCCGGGATGAAGGAGACACAAAACGGACAAGGTTATGTAATAAAGTGCTGAGGATGATCTGTTATGGAGAGCACATAAATATAAGCGATTGTCATGTAAAGGACACTTGGAAAATGCAAAACTGGAGGTGAATAAATGAATGAATGCGCGGAAATGAGTTCCAAGGACAGAATGGAGCTAGTCAATTTGCAATATATACATTTTCGGACGATGAACGCAGATTATGAAGGAACACAGTGATACAAATTGTCGGCAAGTGGTTATGAATAAACTGTTTCAGAGATGGATACAGATAAATTGTCTTCTGTGTACAACGGACAGTGGGCTTCACCGTTAAAGAATTGTCTGATTTATATTATTTATGTTATTTAGGTTATTTACGCGTTGGTCGCTTTGATGTGGGACTGACTACATGCCAGACACCTAACCTTAAAAAAACTTTTTGGTGAGGCAGGGAGTGTGATCCTCAGCCTGGTCCAGAATGCGGACGCATGTTACCAAAGCGGTGGAAGCGGCCGCGCCCAACAACCATTGCCGGAGCCATGTGAGCCATGTGAGAAAGCTTTCTCCCTTTGTACCAACGGGAACCTCTCCCTCTACACAACAGATTTCCGGAAGGTTGAAATCACCCAGAATTAAGATCCTTTGGGTCGTGGATATGAATCCCTACATTGTAGCAATTAGTTCCATATCTTCCGCGGGTTCCACCTGGGGTGCGTGATAGACTAGTAGCACTCCTAACGGTCGTCTTCCCAAGAGGATACTACAGGCCTCGGTCTGAATATTAGGTTCTGCCAGATTCATTGGTGAGTCCCACTGAGTGTAAGCGGCTTTGACTAGCAGGAGTACTCCTCCGCCTTATCTGCCGTCCACTGCATCTTGCATATAAGCCCAGTAGTCTCTGGGCTTCTCTAAATCTTGTTCATGCCGCGTCCAAGTTTCAGTGTTAGCTATTATCACCGAGTTTTGGGTGCGCGTCACCAACTCTCCCCATTTTCCCCTAACACTGCAGGCGTTAGTGTATCACACTGTGACGGTGTCCACCTCCGCCTTCACACAACTCTTCTCTATTGCTTGGGATGGATCCTCGGACGTAAGGCCCGAGGAGCTATTACGCTTTTTGACACCATATTTGCGGGTACCGGGCAATCAGGCTCCGTGAACAACCAGGCCATACCCCCCACAGACTTCATTATGTCTTTGAGGGTTAACCCAAATTCCTCACCGAGTCATTTCGTGGGCGTTCGCTGCCTTCTAAGCATGGATAGTGTCCTACTCAGAGGGGGAGTGTCCTAAATATCCCTTACTACCACTGTGGCCCAACTAACGGACGCTGATTTCGCCTTGCTGTCAGCGACCGTGGACTCACATCTTTTTAACTCCCTTGAATGGCTCCGACGGAGTGATATTTAATGGGCCGTCTGCTCGTCTGTTATCTGTTTTTTTCCCTTGGATTCCAGCTCTAGACTGCCTTGGCGTTTTTTTCCTCCTGTTGTCGCTTTTTGGCCCATCTGGCTTCGGTTTTATGGGTGTGGACTTGTTCAACGGTGACCCAGCTGATAGACTTTTATGGACCACCTTGCGTTGGCATGCCTCGCCCACTCCTACTCCATGCGCCATATGGACGTTTAGTTTGCTCAGAGTAACTCTGGGCTACCTTTGTTGGATTATTCCTGTTGCAGGAACAAAGGGGATGACGCCTCGCTGGGCGTCATGAACTGTATCAGGGGTGACTTTGATTTATCCCCTGATGTTCATCTCCACTGCAACAGCCCTAGAGAGGAGAAGGTCCCGGCTGTGTGTTGCCAAATACTATTAGTATAGGCCTGGGTCTGGTTGTCTGATTCTGCCTCCACAACCCAACCCTGTGGCACTTAACACAGGGCGCATTGGCCGGTATACTCTGTACGTCAACCAATTTGCACTTGCGTGACGCACAGCCGAACCGATACGAACCCCTAATTAAAAGCACAATTGATCCGCAATGTTCTGGCTCTTGGGTAGCCCACTTCCGGGTCTAGCATTGTACACCCTTGTATAGCCTCCCTCGCCTTCCCCCGACAGTTGTGTAGCAAAAACATAAACCTTTGCCCTGCATCGTCGGTTTTGCATTCAACAAAATTCTCGTATTGGAGAGTGAATTGAGAATATTGTTCGAGATTACCATCGAAAGGTGTCAGTTCAACTCTTGGCAAATCGACGTTTACATGGGCATACGTTCTTTGCTTCGGGACAAATTCTTTATTCGGAGAGAAGCCACTGTGTGCAGTCTCAGCTCGAGGTGATGTTGTGCCGTTGAAATCGTTTTTTTTCACGTTTGGTCTGTTCGATCTGCTGTCTAGCTAATCTCAACTCATGTTCTAACTCGGAAAGCCGCAATCTAAATATATCAATATCCTTAATATCTAAGTCTACACATGAAAAAGCACTGACAGGACTAACAGATCTAACATTTTCTAAATAATAGAAATGATCCACACACACCCAGTGTCTTGCCGGGTTACTTCCTGTTGGGTTCCAGTTTCCTTGGTTCTTCGTCTGGGTATCTTCGAAAATAGTTTTTTCTTGTGATTCCAATTTTAGTACTGTACGCCAACCAATTCGCACTTGGGTGACGCGTAGCCGAATCGATACGAATCCTGAAGTAAAAACACAATTGATCCGCAGTTCTACGGTACTGAATTAACGAAATAATTACAGATGTACAATAAAGTAAAACTCAAATATGCGGCCGAGAGCACTCAAGCAAGTGAACCAAATAAGATGTCCAGAGAGAGGCGAACAGTCGCTCCCGTTCTCAAACCACGCCAAATTCAAATGTTCCGGGCATCGAATTAACAGATTAATAATGATGTGTGGTGTTTGTCCTCGAGAAATGTCAATATAGGAGCAACACACAGATAGAGTTATTTCACCATAAATCATTAAGGGTTCGGGAGGATTTCCGAAAATTCAGCATGAAATACATTTCGGTAGTCGAAAAACATCTTGAACGTTTCCGCGATCCGCGTCTAGACGCGCTTTAGTATCGCGAATCAATGGCTCCGCGAAGTTATGCAGCAAGACGTTTCTCGTTCGATTCGGTAGCGCTAAGTGCTGCGTTGCAGTTCTTGGAGTTCTTTCTCCAGCCGTTCTGAACGTGCAGTCACTTCTATGGACTTCAACGGTTTACCCGTAGCCCCTTTGAGTGGTTTCTTTCCCATTGTGCCCGTGATTTTCTCCTTTCCATTTTTTTCCTTCACAGTATGTCTAACGCTAGGATTCACCGCCTCCAGCTGCTTCGTTGCTGGTCTCGGTGCGCGAGTATTGGAGGTTGGTGGTGACTTGGTGGTCACAGCCCCTATCAAGGCTCCTCTCAGAATGCGGGAACATTCCTCTATCAAAGCCTCGCAGTGTGCGCATACCCACCTCAATTCTCCACGCTGAAGGTGCAGCGCATAGCACTGCTTCGACATCTTGGAGCATTTTTTTGTGGTACCACGAGCTACATCCATTACACTGGGTACCATTACTAACCGCTCTACCACAAGCCCTGGCTTCACACGCTTCAGGGTGCTGTAACATGATTGCTTTAGTAACAATGAATACAGATCACGTATCGTACGGGATAAACAATATACAAAAAAGCACCTCAAATTACAAACACCCCTGGACAAAAATACTCAACCAAAAATGACTCTAGCCTGCGTTAAAACGGGACCAAGATTTCCCATATAGTAAAACTAGCCGACCAGTTGGGTCGACTGTACGATACAACGACTGGGAAAAAGCCTATGAAATATCTGCTGATATTTCACTCTTAACTATATGACGCCTTGAAGGTGTGGCACTTTTGAGGTCACAAAATGAAAAGAATAGTGAAAGTGGATATTTCCGCATATACAGTTTGAAATATCTATTGATATTTCACAATTAACTGAGTAAAAATACTTTCGATCACGAGCAATTTGAAAATTCAAACCGGACGCTAACCGGCCAGGTCGGTCCAGGTCAGTTCGGTTCAGTTAATTATGCACAGGGAGAAATGTGGCTCTCAACCAATCGAGCGTTCAGATTGTTGTGTTGTTGGCGGGTGTCTGTATTTCCCAACACTTCGTATTGCTGATTCCAGTGATCGACCGTTGGTGCGTCTAGTTGCCTCTGTCCTCAGTATACGTTCCCAGCGGGGGTGTTTCTGAAAATAGACAGATGAGATGATGTCAATGAAACGTTGGAAGGACTGTGCGGCGTTGCTTAAACCGAATGGCATTCGGAGGAATTCGAATATACCAAATGGTGTGACTACGGCTGTTTTGGGGATATCGGCTTCTGCTACCTGTATCTGGTTGTATGCGCGAACCAGATCGATGCAGCTGAAAAGAGTTCTACCGGCTAGGTCTGACGTGAGATCCGTGGTGTGGGGGATCGGGTACCTATCCGGGGTTGTCACGCGGTTGAATGTGCGATAATCTCCACATGGAAGCCAGTCGTTGGGCGACGTTTTGGGGACCATGTGTAGAGGGGACGCCCGTGGACTTTCTGAGGGGCGTATGATACCCATGTTCAGCATGTGCTGAAACTCTGTGCGGTGCGTAACTTATCTGCAGCTAGTCGACGGGCACGTGCGTGGACCTGTGGACCTCTGGTGACGATGTGGTGCGACACCTCCGTCGTGATATATGGAGGCTCGGTACTGGGGTTGACGAGGCTAGGGGACTCGCGAATATGGGGAATCATCGTGTGAAGAGGAGAGGTGTATATTCTGCGTTACCGAATATACCAGGGAGCCGCCGACTACTCCAGAAGTGTCTGGGTCTATTATCTGTCGCTTGCGGGGATCTAAGATTAGGCCATGGTGCTGTAGGAAGTCTAGGCCAAGTATGGCGTAAGGAACCCGAGCGACCACGAAAACCCAAGTTAAGGCGCGTCTTAAACCTAGGTCTAAGTTCAGTAGCCGCTGTCCATATATTTGGATAAGGGCACCGTTGGCTGCCTGCAAAGTTAGTGCTGCTAGGTTGGCAGCATTCTGTATAGTGAACGGGATTATACTGACTTGCGCCTTAGTATCTGCCACAAACCTAAGCTTGGACGAGTTATCGTAGATAAATAGAAGGCGACAAGGTGTGGGAGAGCCGGTTGAGATAGTCTCCCTGATCTGTCGACCTACTATTTTCCCTTTTGGTTTATGAACGAACACGGCGGCTCGCACTTCCTAGCTTGATTTCCGAAACGTCTGTGGTAATAGCGCAGGCCGCCCCGAGATGGGGTTCGCCTGCGGCGGTTGCTTGACCGGGTTCGACTACGGGTCGCGCGGGTTTTCTGCAGATTTTTGATGGTGGTCTGCATAGTGGCCATGGATAGACGAAGGTCGGCCAACTGCTGAGACAATAGCTGCACTTCTGTCTTGGGCTTGTACAGGGGCTTACCGGGAGTGGGGTTGGTGATCGACTGATGAACGAAGTTTGGCTCCGGGATCCCGTTGTTCGCCAACGAGGGCTGAGAAATTTGAGCCTGTTCCATTGCTCGGTTAGCAGCCTCAGCTAGTTCGTCTAGACTATGGGCATGTGCGAAAACGTTAAGAATACCCCAGACTTATGGAGGAAGCCGTTGAAGCCAAACATGGCGTAGTACGGAGTCGTCGAGCGTGGTGTTGTCGACTAACGTATGTATTTGACGCAACAACTGAGACGGCTTAAGGTTTTCCAGTTGGATCCCTGACAGGAGGAGCTGGATGGGTTTCTCTTCTGAAACTGCCATACGACGGAGTGCTTCTTTGAGCACGTCTTACGGGTTGTGCGCAGGGATATTGATGTAAATATCCCCGAAGTTGATTAGCATGTCGCGCTGGATCGCAGAAAACAGCTTATGATAACGGGACAGTTGCCTGGTGATGCGATCTTCATGGAACCGCGATTCCAGAAGTGCGAGGAACGCTTCCGGATCCTCAGGTATGAACTCAGGAGCCCTGATTTGGGCCCATAGTTCTTCGTTTTCTATGGAGTGCTTATGATCGGGAATATTCACACTTCAGCGGGAATATATACTATGCGACTTTCGAACAGGCTACAAAAATATGACCGAATAGCACCTGAAACACAAACTACGTTGGGAAAACGAAAATGAAATAACATGCAATAGTAAATGAGGGTAAAACCGCGAACTGGGGTAAATATAATCTCAAATTATACGCACGAGAGTGGTTCCGTGGAAATAAATAGGCAGACGATTTAGCACAAACGTGACCTAGAGAAATTGAAATTCCTCCGAAAAAAATTTTCCAAAGTAAATAAATAAAATGAGGGCTCACCAATTTGTAGCTTATCGATACCCCGAGCTAATACGTATAGGTTGCAAACGTACGTTCGTACGAGAAGAGAACAAGGCGGTTCACGAAACGGAGGATTACTTGTATTGTAAAGACCTGCAGAGCAAAGGAGAGACAGAGGCGTGAGCAAGCCTGCAGAAAGTGAAAGCAAACACGTTTTGACCAAAGAGGTCGCCTTGGTGTGGTAAAACAGAGAGATTCACAGGAGGAAGGGTACATTTAGAATGGGATGTGAATGGTCACTTCAGGTGCGTCTTCTCACCTCTCCTCGCTTATCTCGTTTACTGCAAGCATTGGTGTATCAAAGTGTGACTGTGTCTGCTAGAGCATGCTTGATGGATCGAGAACCTATTTCCGGAAGATTTTCATACGTAGTGCCCGAGGTGTTGCCTCATTTTTTGAGGGGGTTAAGTCTGAGTTCGTGGTTTCTTCCACTTGCCAAGCCCTTCCACTTTTCTCCCTGGAAATGACTTTTATCGTCATTCCAAAAGCCTCCTCTACCCGCATAAGTACATCCTCCTTCACTTTTGGAGTACTTAATGTCCGACGTAATGGGAGAGCTGGGGACTGAGCTGCTATCGGGGATTTCGCTACTATTGTCGATCGTGTGACTGGCTCCTCACAGCTGACCGCGGTTTCCTTCGCCGGACTGGTAGCTGGAAATAAGTTCTATGGTTGCGGTGCTCTGTCCTGTGTTATTGGCGGGTTTGACCTTACCTTGCGGACCACGGTATTACCCTCTTTGACCCTCTTTTGTGGGCCCTTTCCTCTATACGGTACATTCTTTGGTACCTTCGGTGTGGATCCGCTCAAAGGCTCTCCAGTACTTGGTACTCAAAGAACTACGTCTTTGGTTTGGTGACCGCTTACATTATTCTCCCTTCTAAATGGGTGCATCATCCTGCTAGGTCTATCGGGGGTGACTATTATACACCCTTGAGTAATGTCCTCGGTCCTTGAGGCTCGTGGTAGTAGGAGGTCTCGTATGTTAGTGTTTGGAAACACCACTGGGATAGGCCGTGGACTACATGAGCTTTCCCCTTTCCACAGGCCAATTCTGTGGCACTTGATGTATGGGGTATAAGGGCAACCCTGCCAGACTAAAAATGTTTTGTACATGGCGATGCTCAGCTTCTCGCCTCGGCTTCGCCGTGTTAATAACTGGCTACGCGCAATCATGCAGTTTTTAGTTCTTCCCAGCGAAGCTTCGCTGCTCTTTTCAGCAGCTTATGTTCTCTGTCTGATTGCTCGATCCGTTGTACCATTTCCCGGTAGTTCGGCTGTCCCTCATGTTTAACCTGAGACTTCTTAGCCTGTAAAGGCCTCGTAGTCTGTTTTGAAACTTCCTTGTTTCGGTGTTTTGCTTTTCTTATTTCTGAACTTTTATTTAGGGATGAAGCAAAAGTAGTCCCTTTCGGTTTCTCTGTGTTATCCTTATTCAGGAGAGCCAGTGATGCCTTCATAATTCTCCTGAACTCCTCGGCTAGTGTTGCGCAGTGTTTGCACACCCCCTTAAAGGAATTGTGCTCCATGTGGAGCTCGTACTCCTTCTTGCTCATTTGGGAGCATCGCTGGTGGTACCACACTCTACAGCGGTCGCACTGAATCCCCTCGGCGACATACTCTGCACAACAATTGGCCCCACACGCTTTAAAACCTTTTAATTGTACCATTTCAAGTTAATCAAGAAATTTTTAAATACACAGTTCTCTAACTCTGAAAAAGTAAACACAGGTAACACCGAAACGTATAAAAAATACGCCTTAACAAACTCAACAATAAAATGCTTTGAGCCTGCGAACCACCAAATTGCAGGCATAAAAATTGCCTAGCAAACGTTTTGTGATCTTTGACAGATCACGAACAACACTGGTAAACGTAAAACCACTTCAAGAGTTATTTGACTGAAATTTCTACTGTTATTTTACTAGTACCGGACAAAAAGTGTGAACGAGAAAGAGCACAGTGGAAATTCAAACCGCGCGCTAACGTACCGCAAGGTGGAGCAGGTTACCCGCAGAAGCGATCAACTGCGCAAATGTTAACACCTTCAAGGTGACCCTGGACGCATGTTGGTCAGAAACGTTCCCCGAAGTTAATATTTAGACTGGGAACAGTAAGAGTAAATTCTACTTTAGCCAGAAGTTGTGA